CAACTTTCTAAACACATCCTTGTTTCTTTTTAATGTGTTTTTAGAAAATAGAACTTGAACTACATCAATTAAAGCAACAAGTAATGGTAAGATTCTCTTTCCTATATGCTGACTTTTTTAAATTTTATAAGCATAATGTCAGAAATATATACTTCTAAAAACTTAATTCTTGGTGAAAAAGTTCACATTGCAAGACTTAACACAGCCAATGAATAAGTCGCCAGTGTCTAACCAAATTCATTAACAAAATTGCCTTCTAGGAGGAGTTAAATCATTTTAAATCAAAGTGTTTGTGAAATAACCAAATGGAGCCCTTAGATTTCTCTTAAAAGTGACTTTCTTTAGAAAATTACATGTGATTTTTAAATGGTTACCAAGCCAGCTGTGTTTGGTTTGGTTTGTTTTTTTAAGGAGGAAAGAGTATTGATTTTAAAAAAGAAAAGATTCTGATGAATTTCAAAAAGAAGGCTTTATTAAACCAGAGCTTAACGTTTCATCTTGGCTTTCCATAGTTATCTGGGGAGCTGCTTTATTCCTGAATTCCGCAGGGGGATTATATAGGACATCTGGAGGTCAAAGGCACCCATGGACCCCTGCCACTCAGGAGTTTGAGGGCAGCCTGGGCAGCACAGAAAGCAGTAGTGACCCACTCTGGGCTGGCATGCCTCTTGGAGGGGACTCTCTACATGTGGCTGGAAGCCTGAAGACAGGCCAGCCTGGCTCCTGCACAGTCCCCTGACACTGTTAGCCCTGGCCCCGCCGGCCGTGCCCTTCCCTGGCTGGCTCCCTTGGGCAGGTGTCCTGGGCTCAGGTCCTCAGGAGCGGTGGATTTCTGACTGTGGATTTCTCTTTGTTTTTGCCTTTCTATTAGGATGAAATGATCAAAGTCCGGACAGATACCAAATTAGACTTCAATCTGGAAAAAAGCAGAGTAAAAGAATTGGTATGTTCTTCTATGAAAAATAAATCATGAGGGGCCGGGGCTGTGGCTCAGTGGTAGAGCGCTC